CCTGGAAGATCAAGCATGATGATCTTAGAACGCCTTCCCGACCTGGGCAGGCGAGTTCCATATTAGTGCTGAGTCAGCAACCAATTAACGCCCCAGCGCGTTCTGTACGCGTCGAGCTCCGAGTAAAATGCGGAGAACTCACATGGAACTCGATTGGAAGCATTCTTAGTCTGAGATCAAGCTGAGATGAAATATCCATGTATTGAATTCCATTGAAGTCCATCTCCCCCAACCAAACCCACAACCCCTACGTCCAACGCCACTTCCACTTCCCATACTTGCGGTGGGAGCAGTTGGAATCATCATTCGTCGAGATGGCACCTCATTCTTCACAGTCCTCCGCACCCTCTCCATCGTTGAAACGAAAGCAAGCAAGCATCTCCAGCTTCTTCACCCAGAAGCCCGCATCCTCCGCCACGCCCAAAGTCTCCGCACCGACCCCGGCCAAAGCGCCCAAGAAAAGACAAGCGTCACCAGTCAATAAGATCGAACCGAAGCAAGACGATATCACCCCAGCAGATGACGATGACGATGACGATAACGATGATGAGGATATCGTAGCACCAGCACCAAAGCGAGCGAAGACCACCGGCACAGACGCGGAGGAGCCAATCCGAGTTGCGATAAGCGCACACTTTGAACACACCTCTCAGGCAAGCAGCAGCCAACGCACCGATATCTTCAAGTTCCAGAGCTCCCCTGCTGTTGCGCCAGTCCCCGCAGAGGAGGAAGACCCGGAGCAGGAACAGCGGAAAAAAGAGAAAGAGAAACTCCACCAGCAGTTCGTCCGAAAGCTCGGTGGGTCAGACTGCCAGATTGGAATTGGGAGAATTACAGTGAGCGATGCAGCTAGCGTGGAGGCCGAAGCTGCAGAGGCCGAGGAAGACGATGAGCCTGCACCACCACCCCCGACTAAAGGCAAGGGTGCGAAGAAGGCCGCGAGCAAGCTCACACCCATGGAGAAGCAGGTCATTGAGATCAAGCGTCAGAATATGAACACAGTATTAGTTATTGAAGTGGGATACAAGTTCCGGTTCTTCGGAGAGGACGCGCGCATTGCGGCCAAGGAGTTGGGCATCGTGTGTATCCCTGGGAAATTCAGATTCGATGAACGTGAGTACTTCGTGCATGCCATACCGAAAACATACTAATGCCATGACCTACCGCAGATCCATCCGAGGCACACATCGGCCGATTTGCTTCGGCTAGTATCCCCGTGCACCGATTACACGTACATGTGAAGCGACTCGTTACAGCTGGCCACAAGGTCGGCGTGGTGCGACAGATCGAGACGGCTGCGCTCAAGGCTGCGGGTGATAATCGTAATGCGCCGTTTGTTCGCAAATTAACCAACCTCTACACGAAAGGAACCTATATCGATGACGCGGAAGGTCTGCAGGGTCCTGCGCCGGCGGCGGGAGGTGCCTCCCCTGCTACCGGGTACATGCTCTGTATGACGGAGACCAATGCCAAGGGCCCCGGGAATGACGAGCGAGTCCATGTCGGGATTGTCGCTGTCCAGCCGGCCACAGGTGACGTTATCTACGATGACTTTGAGGATGGTTTCATGCGGAGCGAGATCGAGACACGACTATTGCATATCGCTCCCTGTGAGATTTTGATTGTTGGGGAAATGTCTCGAGCTAGCGAAAAGCTCGTGCAGCATTTATCTGGAAGCAAGATGAATGTTTTTGGGGACGCTGTGCGCCTCGAACGGGCCCAGAAAAAGAAAACCTCCGCCGCTGAGGCACACAGCCATGTATCGGGATTTTATGCAGGAAAAATGAAGGCTACCAATACCGAGGAGGATACCCAGGCTGCGAAGTTGCTTCAAAACGTTCTTGGCCTCCCGGAACAGGTGACTATCTGTTTGTCTGCTATGATCGAACATATGACCGAATATGGGTTGGAACATGTGTTTGATCTCACAAAGTATTTCCAGCCCTTCTCGGCTCGTTCGCATATGCTTCTGAACGGAAACACGCTGGTCAGTCTAGAGATCTACCAAAACCAGACGGACCTCTCGACAAAGGGTAGTCTATTCTGGACCTTAGATCGGACGCACACGCGATTCGGACAACGCATGTTACGGCAATGGGTTGGGAGACCTTTGCTGGACAAAGTGCGCCTTGAGGAGCGGACGAATGCCGTGGAAGAGCTTATTGATCCTGCGCGAGCGGTTCCGGTGGAGAGAGTGCGAGGGTTGCTACAAAAAGTTAAGAGTGATCTTGAAAAGAGTTTGATCCGCATTTACTATGGAAAGGTAGGTAATACTCCTGCGATGACCACACCTGTACTAATTTGGATCCAAGTGCGAGCGACCCGAACTCCTCACTGTTCTACAAGCTATGCAGATGATTGCGATGGAATTTGCAGATATCAAATCACCTGCCCAGACGGGTTTTCAATCATCGCTAGTGAGCGAGGCCATCGCCTCCCTGCCCACGATTCGAGCTTCAGTCGTCAAGTTTTTGGATAAGATCAACATGCACGCTGCGCGAACCAATGACAAATATACCTTCTTTCGCGAAGCGGAGGAGACAGAGGATATCAGTGAACTCAAGCTGCAAATTGGAAGCACTGAACACGGGTTCTTGGAACACCGCAAAGAGGCAGCATCCACAATCGGGAGAGGCAAAGTCGAATACTCGACAGTCTCCGGAATAGAGTATTTGATCGAGATCGAAAACAACTCACCAGCACTCAAGCGCGTTCCAGCATCGTGGGTCAAAGTCAGCGGCACAAAAAAGGTGTCCCGCTTCCACACGCCAGAAGTCATCCAGCTTATCCGCGAGCGTGATCAGTACAAAGAAGCCCTAGCAGCAGCCTGCGACCAAGCATACAAAACCCTCCTAGCTGATATTGCAGCGCAGTACCAGTCCTTCCGGGATTGCATCCAATCTCTCGCAACCCTAGACTGCCTATTATCTCTCGCAGACATAGCCCAGCAACCGGGTTATGTCAAGCCGGAATACACAGAAGAAGCAGGTCTCCACATCGAGCAAGGCCGACACCCAATGGTGGAGCAACTCCTCACAGACACATACGTACCCAACGACACGAATCTCCAACACGCTGGGACGCGCGCCCTCCTCGTCACCGGTCCCAACATGGGCGGTAAATCCAGCTATGTGCGACAGGTAGCACTAATCGCAATCATGGGCCAGATCGGATCCTACGTCCCAGCAACTTCCGCCCGACTCGGTCTTCTAGATGCCGTCTTCACGCGCATGGGCGCCTTCGACAACATGCTCGCCGGCGAATCAACCTTCATGGTCGAGCTCTCTGAAACAGCAGATATCCTTAAACAAGCAACGCCTCGATCCTTGGTTATCCTCGACGAGCTGGGCCGCGGTACGTCCACGCATGACGGTGTCGCTATTGCGCAGGCCGTGCTGGATTATATGGTTCGGTCGATTCAATCCCTGACCCTTTTTATTACGCATTACCAGCATCTCTCGCGGATGGTGCATTCCTTCCCGGACCAGGCTCTCCGTAATGTCCATATGCGGTTCACGGAGACGGGTATCAAGGACAAGGAAGGGGAGGGGGAGATTACATTCCTCTACGAGGTTACTGAGGGAGTTGCGCACCGTAGCTATGGGTTGAACGTTGCGCGGCTGGCGAACTTGCCCTCGACTGTTATTGACGTCGCCCGTCAAAAGAGCGCTGAGCTGGAAGATTCTATTCGGCGGAAGCGCTTGGCTGGGCTTGTTGGGGCGGTTGGCCGGGTGCTTGATGATAAGAGTGATTTGGATGGAGAGTCTGCTGGTGCTGATGGCCTTTTTAATAGGCTTATGGCTAGTGCAGAGCAATTGTAGTTTACATCATGCGGGGCATTAAGCATCTTCGGTTGTACAGTTACAGTTACATATACACCGGATTTTAGGCTGAGATGGCTTTCCTTTTCCGCTTCAGTGCTCCTCCTGTGCCGGGTTTTGCTCACCGAGTAGACTGGTGAGGCTAGCGGAAAACATTAGTGACTTCATTTTGCTAGGGGGCTACATAGTATTAGAAGTACCTATCGTTCCTAACCGCTAACGCTGTGAAGGGCTTATGTATGGTCATTGGGATAATTTTTTGGAAATACAATTGCTGTAAGAGGTCTCAGTAGGCTTAGGAAGGGGAGAAGGGGTTCGAATAACAGCTCGAGGGTACTCCTTTCAAGATAGCCCTACTTGGCTTGTGATTCGATGTATAAATTGTGATTTTGTCTGGTTTCAAGTGATTTAGGCTTATAATGCATAATATTGCCGGAACTAATCGAACAATCAGGTTCCATAACTCAGTTGGTTAGAGTGCGATGCTAATAACGTCGAAGTCGAGGGTTCGACCCCCTCTGGAACCAGCCTTCTTTTTTTTCTTTCCCTAATTTTTGTATATCTATCATAGTTTCTCTACCGAGTTATCGAATTAGATCATAGTATGGGGTTAAAGCAGTGTAAATCATGCCTATAGCAGAGGGAATTGATATATGTATCCCCCTGCCTGGGGCGCACCAATACCCGGCAGGTATATTAGGCGCTTGGCACAGTTATTGCCTCAAATCCTCACATATCTAACGGACGGTGGGTACTTTATCTCCTAGTTAGTAAAGTAGTAGAGCAAAGCAGAGTATAGGCTAAGGCTATATATTATACTGCGCTAGTGATTCGATTTTGATGCTAGTAGGACATAATGTATATATAGCTATAACCTATAAGTAGGTAAATCTTCCCGTTTAAGGTTGTATATTTTCAACCCCTCGGCTTCGACTATTGAAAGCTGTTACACAATGGAGGGTTCTCTAATACGGAAGATAATGATGATATTCCTTGGGGTCACTAGCTACTGATATGGACCCTGGCTTGGTGGGTTAGGTGACCCGCTAGCCACTGGTGGTCAACTAGTCATCTGGCTAACGTGCCAAATGCAACAAAAGGATTCTCCTTCCGTTGATGACTTTGTCAACCCCCTAAATAAAATCATCGGCATGATGTGGCCATTTCCTGCAGCTTAATTTAGTCGTGAATATGTGATTGCTGGTTGTCTGCCTTCGCACCATCGCTACTCGTTCGTGTAGTTGGTCTTCCGCGGTGCTCCTTTTTCCGTGCGAGACTAGAGTTTGTCGGGGTGTATGATCCGGTGGGATCGACGATATTGACGGAATCAGAGGAATCGAGGTGGAGCTTGACGAATCCGAATCCTGTGGTATGGAGCGTGGTGTGAAGGATCTTGCGCAGGGTGGATGGGTGGGTGGTGGAGAGGTAGGTAAATATGTAGGGAAACTCTCTGGGAGGCCACCTTGAGGCCGTGTTCGCCACTGTATTTGTGCCAGTCTGATCTCGGATACCGATATCAATGGCAACCCATATGCTGATTTCAAAGAGCTTGCTACCGGGGTAACTTCCCTCTCTCTAGCATCTCTACCCCCCCTATACCCAGATGCGGGTCCAGATTTGCATTTGCATATGGAGCTTCACCTGGCTTAGTATGCTCAGTTTAATATTGCAAAGTCATCCTTCCTACTGTCATTGGTATATTCAGTATCCCTGAGATTTCACGTTGTGCTTCACCCAAAGTGAGAGTTGATTGGGGATTTTATTATCGACTAGACTACTAATCGCTGGATCTTCTTACAGGTCTAGATCCGGTCCATATCGACAACTCTAGCTAAATACAGCATCTTGTGCCTTCTTGCGTGGGAATTATACTCTATACAGGTTTTGGGATACGTATCTAGCCAAATATTCGATCTCTACGCCTGGTGACATCCTGTCTGGCTGCACCCGCTTGGTGATCCTCGAATATCGAATATACTAAGAATCCATATAGCCAAAGAAGCTTAGTGGCTGATTTTTGTGCTTGATCGGTACGGACGATCATTCCTCCCAATCTCTCCGCAGGACCACGCGTCCCTAGTAAACTAGGTGGAGCATACTCTGTAGTACAATCTTTGTTTTCGCTCATGAATTCGACCTCGTTCCCAACGCTCTGCTTGTTGCTATAGTGGAATATATGAATCTTAACATTTAGCCAGTTTCCGACCAAGGTAAGGAATCTCCCTACTACCATCTGGCACTCGCCCTTCTTCATATAAGTGAATATAAGGTGACATATCATAATATCTAGGTAGAGATGTTATTTAGACATACCCGTTATACGCAGGCTACATCTAGATAAGATCGAGGTGTACTCTACCGAATAAACCATAGGCTTCTCCGACTCTTCTTCTCAAGATCTACCTTAAAGCATCTGCCAATTGACAGGCCTCACATACCTACTCTTTTCATGTTAGGGTTACTTTCAATAGTAATATCCTCTGTTATCTCGCTTAATTTGACAATACTCTTAATGCAAATATGGCCTAAACGCTTATGTCAAAGCTTAATCGGAGCGTTTCAAGCTGGTTCTCTTGCTAACTTCTTTATAGTTGCAAATATCAGCTCTACTTCTCTCGGGTTTAGAAGCTTTATATCTGGCTGTATAAGCCAAAAAAAGCTTCTGATCTAGTATATCTTATATACTAGGTACTGACTATCAATAGTCTCAAGTTGGTGTTTCCGGGCATTTGCGAATACCCCCGCTCTTGATCATCAATCCATAGTATATTAGATTACTATAGAATTGAGGTGAGTATTTAATATCGTACAGCTCCATTTTACTAGCTTGCTTGTGGTATGACTGACCATAGATCACTACAGTGTCTCTCCCTGCAGCCCAGGCCACCGTTTCTCAACTGGTACCGGGTTGGGATTCATATCCTGGTTAGTGGACAAGAAGGCAAATGCTTGACTATCGAGGGTTGAATTTGCTTGCTAAAGTGCTTCTCTCCCCCATTCGGTCTTCATCTGGTGTTCAGACTCTTCTCGATGACGTTTGTCAACGTACGCTAGTAGGTAGAGTCAGAAAAGAAAAAAAATGACAAAAAAATAATTCTGTGGTTCCAGAGGGGGTCGAACCCTCGACTTCGACGTTATTAGCATCGCACTCTAACCAACTGAGTTATGGAACCAAGTATGCTGGGAGCTAAATTTTAGCCATTATGTTCGAAAACCATATTTTTACCTAGTACTCATCAAAATACGCATCTAATCTATAACATCTACCTGCCTACAACCAGCTATTATAGTACCACCTTTATCTAAAATTCTTTACCCTTTTCTTCCCCCTTCTTAAACGAGGTGAGGATGGGTGAGGCTATAACTGTGCCAAGCGTCCAACACACACCCCTGTGTATTGGTGCGGCCCCAGTAGATAACCATTTTTCATCGGATAACCAATCTACAATTTAGGTATCTTTTGTATGGGAAAGTCCTACGGACGATACTTTTATACCTCATAGACACGCATACAAAATTTCTCAACATTTGAACTAGTTAGGGAAGATATAAGCAGAGATGTACAGTTTGAAGGAATATCAAGTAAACTCAAAGAAAAAAGGCATGTAGTATAACTATCTATCTCTCTATGCATTCACGACGTAGTGTTTGTTGCTTTTAAAATATTATCCTTTATATACGTTAGATATCTAGATAAGACTAGCATTACATTAACTAATTAGGATAGAGTTATCTGATATTTATACCCTTTCTCTTACTTTAGTTAGTCTAAGGGTTGAGAAATTTTGTATAGTGTCTATAAGGTATAAAAGTATCGTTTATAGGACTTTCCCATACAAAAGATACTTATTGTAGATTGCTTATCTGATGAAAAATGGTTATCTACTGGGGGCGCACCAATACACAGGGGTGTGTGCGTTGGACGCTTGGCACAGTTATTAATATTTGACGACTCGGGTAGAGAGACTATGATGGAATTTATTTTTAAAAAAAATAAAAGAATAAGCTGGTTCCAGAGGGGGTCGAACCCTCGACTTCGACGTTATTAGCATCGCACTCTAACCAACTGAGTTATGGAACCGATTATGCTTGTTGATAAATTTTAGCCATTATGTTCGAAAGTCGTATTTTTTAAAGCGGTATTTTCAAGGCGGTATTTTTGTGCATATCAAAATTACGCATCTAATTTATACTCTATAACCACCTGCTAGGTAGTATAATAGGTACCACCTTTATCGAGAGTTCTTTATCTTTTTTTTTTTTTTTTTTTTTCAACGAGGATGGATTAAGCTATATAATATGCAATGACTTGTTAATAGAGACTACATGGTAGTTTAAAAAACAAAAAGATCAAGTTGGTTCCAGAGGGGGTCGAACCCTCGACTTCGACGTTATTAGCATCGCACTCTAACCAACTGAGTTATGGAACCGGATTATATAGTGATGCCGAGAATTTACGTCTATCAAATTTTGCTATATACTGGGGGATTGGGCCTCATTATGCCAGCGGTGAATGGCTTCCTATGCTACCACCCTTTGCACTACTGATTCTAAACCGGTGTTCATTTGTTGGGGATATAATATCTTTTCGATATAGGTGACCTCCGCCTATAACCGCGATTGGGTGCCTTCTACTGAGGACTGCCGTTACTTCGCCTACGAGTAAGGGTTTAGTTGCTAGCGCTAGTATCACAGAATAGATGGCAGATATATGATCCACTTCTCACGTGATTATGTTGCCCTATTGTAAAATACCACATTAAATACCACGCTAATTTATACGCTAAAATATTTAAGTGGAGGTAGACTAATCCTGTCACGGGCCACCTTTGGGGCGTGTTCTGTAGGTAAATCCGCTACTCTACTGGCAAAAGACTAGAAATCTAAGATGAACCTTACAACCGCGCTCGCTATATAGAGGAAATAGTCCGTCATATATCCCACCTAGTTGAACTATTGCAGGCCTTTATTTCTCAGCCGCAAGGCCCATATGCTTAGTTACTAAGTATAGTCTAAGTACCTAGGTATTCACTGAGTGATCACCCTATGCTACGAAATACTTGGCGAGTATGTTGTCGGAAGTTGGGCACCCTTATAAAGCGACGGCACCCCCATCGGGAAAATCGCAACCGTGGCCAAAAATCTGGGATATACTGGTACCTATGCATTTAGACAATGCCTGAGAATGTATTGGATCATCCCATTGATTCCTGGTTGTATAGGCTTGTTTGCTTACGGAGTGATCGCTTGTTTGCCAGATTTAGGGTCTAAATATGTACCCCGCTTCCTCTTCCTCTCTCTTCCTGATTTGTATAGCAGAAGCTATAACATAATCCATAACGAAATAGCGAAGGCCTTACTTTCAGCATGGAGCCTTCGCCGGAGGGTCGATACTTTTATCGTTGCTATTCTTCAGAAAGTGCCGGTGCACTAAGATGTGGGAAATACCCCCACGTCCCTAGGGTGCTATCCCAGAGGCTGCTGCTTCGTGAATTCAGCAGCCACATGATTCGAAGACAGAAAGTCCCTACTGCACTGATATCTGTTACCGTTCGTCCCGTTGAAGCGCTATACCGTGCCCTAGAAAAATACTACGCTCCGCAGCAAGACCCGGAGGACCCAGAAGAGATATGGATCGCGATAATATTTGTGCCACATGACGCCAGTACGAAGCCTCACCATGCTCGCAAACTTGCACAGAAGCTCATGAACAGCAAAGATGCAAACGCTTTTAAATATGAGTATTTGTTCGAACGGGAGATCCCGACGAGCTACCTGAAGCACAGCGTCTCGCTCAAAGAGCTAATCAAACGTGGATCAAGCGACTGGATGTTCCTCGATGCAGAACAATCTTTTCCAAGCCCTCTGAAAGAATTCCGGAAGGTTATAATAAGCGAAATATTGTCGGACGCCTACGGCGCCGGTCGTTGGTTAGGAGGCATCGCCCGAGCTTTCGGTGTCGGGGCACCGGTGTATGAGATCGCGAACAAGATATTTTCAGATTCTCTTGGAAATTTCGGGCACATTGGTAAGAATCGCCAATATGTCGATGTGTATTGGGCAAATAATGGAGAAGACCTTGAATGTCACGGTGGTATTGAGTTTGGGAGCATATGCGATATTGAAGACGGAATCAAGGATGAGCTCGATTCCTGGCTTGGTGTATTTGAATAAAGAGCTAGCTGGGGGTTTGATGTAGTTCTCAATGTTGGTCATTCTTTTCTTACTTTGATTCATGTCTCTGGACATTATACATAAGATAAACATGTCTTTTTGGATGTCCTAGGAAGAAAGACGAACAGGCGCGTAAAACATACACAGGTTCCAATTTATACCAAGGCACATGGCACAGTTACGGTCTACATCCATGTACTTGGCAGACAGGCCTGGAGAACCCCAGACAACAGTTAAACCCCGGAATATCTAATCTAGAAACCCACATAGACTACGCTGGCCAGATGTTCTACGAACGCTTTCAAAACCTCGACCTCGACAAGGCTGAACTGGAAGTTTTCAAACTTTTTTTTGGATTCCATTGTTCTTTTTGTCGATCGGGGTCCGGTTCGAATCGGCGTTTGTCCTTTCTAAATACCAGTAGTGGGGGAAATCTGGTACGAGGAAGAGAAGAGAGGAAACAACATCACAACCTCGTTTGTCGCATTGAGCCCATGCAAGCACGCCTAGATTGACGTGTGTGTATGTAGTAAAACACCAAGATCGAAACCAGACCAGACCGTGCCACAAGTCCACTAACCAGCCCTCGCGCAAGAACCTGATTTCGTTTTCTCGTATCAATAAAAAAAAAGGCTTTCTATTATCTTTTTTGCGCTCTCTGCTCCTCTCTCTCACGATCGTTTCTCCATAATCGACCTTCCGGGACTTTCGGCGTTATAAAAACCAAAAAGTCAATCCACACAAACCATCACCTCCAGTCGAAACGTCGGAAATCGTAGAAATGGCCGAGAGTCGGCAGGCGGGAATGGGTTGAGCAGCGCGGCGGTTTAGGGCTGAGGAAGATAGGAGGTTGAAGGTACGGCAAGAAAGAAAAGCGGGGGACTCGATTTTGGCCGAAGAGTAATCATGAAAAACCGGTCGTAAGGGATATGCGAGAGAAGAAGAGAGACAAAATAGACGACGCGAGCGAAATTTCGTTTTGGTGAATTTTAACGGAGACGGCGGGCCTCGCGCTCGGACTCGAGCAGGCAGAGGATGTCGTCAACGCGGACTGGTGCGGAGGAATAGATGTTAGTGATGTGGTTCGGTAAAGTTTTCGTCTTTTGGGTCGATTTTCGAAAAATTCCATATTTCAACATGGGGCCTCTTTTCATTGTAGAATGAATGTATAGACCCCCGTGTGATTCCTCCTCTTGTGATCCCAAAAGACAAACGGATTCAAGGAGATCAATGTCGCATACCTGGGCCCTTGACGTTACGGATGATGGAACGCGAGGTGTCGTCCATGAACTCGACGCGGACCTGGGTGACACCACCACGGGATCCTAAATGAATAGACCACAAATTAGCCATTGCTATTCCTCCAAGTGTCTGGTTTTCATCGGTTTGTTTCGGGCGATCCGGGGCGCAATGGGTGCACCCCGCGAATATCGAATATCGAATTGTGGGTTTTGGAGCTTCAAAAGGCTGGGAAAGCACATACCGGTGCGGCCGAGGACACGGGTCACCTTGACGAGCTTAACGGGCTGCTTGCTGGAATCCATCTTGGAGGTCTGGAGAGGGCGTTGAGCTCGAGGGTTGGAGTTGGTTGGACTGAAGGTAAATGAGTGTTGAAGTGGAATTTGGCCTGTGTGGGTTCGTGCAAATTACGCGAGGGCTCAGGGCTGGACACCTGAGCCGTCAGGCATCAGATGAGTCAGCGCATAAAAATTGACACCTGGGCCATCAGGCAGAACATATTTTCGCTGAACTCCGATATCGTTCAGCATCACCAGTCGATGTTGGCTTCCACATCCAATTATTCTACAAAAAAATATAAAAAAATTATTGAAGGCTCTACCAAGCATATCCTATAGACAATCCAAATAGCCATATACCAAATAATTCTATCACGTGGGCTCATACTGTCCAACGAACACGGTACATACTCCTCTGGTCCCGTCACTAGTTTACCGGAGTAGTCTGCCCCTCCAATTTCTGCCGCAAGAAGCTCCGGTCTCTCTCTCCCTCTGACTCTTCCGGACTATATCAATTGTTCTTCCTTCTCTCCAAGATATATTTACCGTCTCAGAATTTCAATTGACTCGATCTCTTTGTCAATTGATCTCCCATCAGCTTATCCCCCCACCAAAAACCCGTGAAAACCCCGCGCCGCACCGCTCTATCGCCATGGATCTCGTCAACCAGTGAGTCAACCTGAATTACAAACCGCATTAAGATCCCTACTAACCCATATATTCTAAACAGCCTGGAAGGCCGTCTTCTCTTCGCCGTCCCCAAAAGCAAGTTCCCTCCCAAACCGTGACTCATAGACCTCTGCGAGCAGTGGTACCCAAGAACCAAGAAACAAAGACAAAGATAAAGAACCCAAGACTGACGACGCAAATCCACTGTACAGAGGGACGTCTGCAACAAGCAACCCTCGACCTCCTCGCCGGCTGTGACGTCCAGTTCCGCCGCGAAACCCGCCTCGACATCGCGCTGGTCAAGAACCTGCCCATTGCGCTGATCTTCCTGCCCGCCGCCGACATCCCGACCTTCGTCGGCGAAGGCCGCGTCGATCTCGGAATCACTGGCCGCGACCAAGTCGCCGAGCACGATGCCACCCTGCCCGCTGGCGAGGTCTCCGGCGTCGAGGAAATCCTCGACCTAGGCTTCGGCGCCTGCAAGCTGCAGGTGCAAGTCCCGGAGAAGGGTCAGCTCAAGGAGGCCAAGGACCTCGTTGGCTCCAACGTTGTGACCAGCTTCACTGCCCTCACCGAGGCTTTCTTCCGTAAACTGGAAGGTGCCGAGGCTGGCCAGAAGCTCGCCACGAAGATCAAGTATGTCGGCGGTAGTGTTGAGGCTGCTTGCGCCCTCGGCGTCGCGGATGGTATCGTTGATCTTGTTGGTATGTTGTGATAAGCGCTAGACAAACTGAAATACTGGAATGCTGGAATCCGTCGCTAACACTCAAATCTTCTCTTCAGAGTCCGGTGAGACTATGAAGGCCGCCGGCCTGAAGGCAATTGACACCGTCGTCTCCAGCACCGCCGTGCTGGTCAAGTCCCGCCAGTCCAACAGTGACATCCTCACCCTCCTCACTTCCCGTCTGCGTGGTGTCATCACCGCCCAGAAGTTCGTCCTGTGCCAATACAACATCCCGCGTGATCAGCTGCCCGTCGCATCTAAGATCACCCCCGGCAAGCGCGCGCCTACTATCACTGCGCTCGAGGAGGAGGGATGGGTTGCTGTCAGCTCGATGGTGGAGAAGAAGCGCATTGCTACGGTAATGGATGAGCTCATTAAGGTTGGCGCGAGTGATATCTTGGTTATGAACATTGCCAACTCGCGCACGGATTAAAGATTTGATGATGATATTTGTTTTCTTTTTGGGGTTTTTATAGCATCCTTCTCATGATCTTTTTTTTTTAACTTTATATACTGTGATGGAATTTTCCGGGATACTGGTTCCTTTTCTTCTGTTTGGTTTCGATAGAGACTGTCTCGCTATTCCAATGGGTATTGGACTGATAGGACAAAAAGCACATACATACCTAGCTAGGTAGAATGGGATAGGATTATATAGCGTGTGTGCAAGGAGATTTATCCACGTTCGTATATTGAGCTCTGCTTTGGCTTTCTTGTCTATCTTTCTTTTTCTATATAAATACCCCAATCCTCCCCTACTATATGAACAAGAATATACCAGATTCAATGCCAGTATGATACAGCTAAACCCCTAATGCCATATAAACAAACCCTACCGAAAACCACATAACCAATCAAAAATCATCAAACATATGGCAATGGTATCATCAAAAGGTCATAAAAAAAAAAAGGCAAACGCCAGAAACAAAACAAAACCCTATCACAATTCCTTCTCCCCCAATCCAACCCCCTCCTTCCTCCCCCGATGAATAGCCCTAAGACACTGTCCAACCCCCTCAAGATCCCCAAGCAACCCAACATGCCCACGCTCACTCTTCACCAATCCATCCTTGATAATCCTATATCCAGGTGGCAACATAGCAGCCGAAGCAAGACAGACTCCATCCCCAGCCGCAAACGCAAGATCATCGTACGCATCAACCTGCTTGATACTCTCACGCGAGACAACCCGCGCACCATACACAGTCGGCAACGTCTTCCCGTACAGCACTGCCGCAGGCGGGTATCTGTTCTCGGAATGGTGCGTCGGCCGGAACGCAAGGTTCTCCTTGAACCGTTTGGTCTCTGCCAGCGTGCGCTTTAGATACTCCCTCGCCGCGGGGAGTGGGATAGTGCTCGTCGTTGCTATTTTGTTGGTTGCGGTACTGCTGCGCGGGTGTGCGCCTGGTCCAACTAAGCCGTCCGCCGGGTTCTGGGCTTTCTCGGCTGCGTATGCGGCGTACGAGGCTGGGTTGTGCGGTGTGTTGTTATTGCGGGCGTAGATGTCCTTCTCCGTTCCCGTGAGGGCGTGTCCGTCGTGCGGGTGGTTGTGTAGGTCTTGGGAGAGGTATTCATCCGAGTCCTCGCGCGGACCCATGGAGAAGCGCTTTCCGATTATGGGAATGTCTTTGAAGCCAAGGGTTGTTGGCGTTGGGGGTGCGGGGAGAGCTGGGCCCGTGCAAGGGGAGAGACGGTGGTCTTCCCAGGTTTGGGGGTCGAAGAAGTCGATACGGAATTCTTTTTTGCTTTGTTTGTCGATGAAGCAGTGCCCGTCTTCTGGGAGGAGGGCGAAGCTCGTTCGGAAGGTGAAGTTTACTTGCGCTGTTAGAACGCGGGAACTGAGGAGGACGTCGTCGCCGCTGCGGAGGGGTCCGAGGATGTTCACGCAGTGCTGGGGTACGCCTGCGTACACGACTCCGGCGAAGAGATCGGGTCGTTCGTTGACCGCGTGTCGGGTTATCAGACCGCCCAGACTGTGTGCGATGACTGTAGCGCCGCGTCGGGATTCACCTGGTGCAGGCTCCTGGTTGCATGGTAGACTCTCCAGGAAGGCGATGAGCCTGCGTGAGAGCAGCTCGGGGCTTAGGCGCCAGTCGTATCCGTAATCGTGGACACGCAAATCGCCACGCAGGGCATTTTCGCTCTTGCGCAAACGCTTCATCAATCGTCGACAGACGTCCACCGGGCCAACGTGGGAGAGAACCCCAGATGGAATGATGGTCTCTTCCATGCGTTCCTCGTCCTCCGGGTGCAGACCAACCTCCAAGTCTACTTTCCGTAGATTGAGACCAACCTTCATTGGCACCCACAGTTGACGATGGGGTGGTTTAGCAGACCGCAGGATTGATCCTCGGTAGCCTCCCAGAATCACAACATCGCCCGTGAGATCTGCCATTGCTTCTTCCAACACTGGATGTGTTATGTTAGGATTGTTCCGTGGAGTTAGCGGTGGAGTTGCAGCCCGCGGTGGTTGTTCCCCTTTGGCAGTACCATTAACACCATTGCTGTTATTGGATGAACTGTTTCCAAGATCTGGCAGGAACGGACGAGAGCCCCAATCATTGCGGATATCCTGTAAATGGAGATTCGGCATGCTGAGCAGCCTGCTACTCGAGTCTTGAAGACTATCCTTGATTGCCTTGAACCGGCTGTTCACCTGGGTATGCACATTCTCGTACAATGGCCGCTGCTCTAGGGACGATGCCGTGGACGACGCACGTAGATACAGCGATTGATCCGACGAGGACCTCCGCAGACTTGGTGGTCGACCAGGCATCGCTGAACTAGGCCTCCGTATGAAGGAATGTTTCGCGGCTGAGGTTCCATCTGGCGAGCGTAGCTCAGGTATCGACTGAGCGGCTTCCCCGTCATCATCAACGCTAGAGCTGCTTGGTGCAAAAGCTGACGGCGGCGAGCGTAGGACCAGCGATGAAGTTCTTTTCGGCACTCCCGTGTTCTTCTTAGCTGCGGGAGCTACCGTCTGGCTGCGGATTCGGTTTTGGCCATTGGGCGCACGGAACGAGAGAGAAGGCCGTTTCCTCAAGGAGGTCAGATCAGGGAAGAATCTCTTCAGCTCGCCGGACCAGGCGCGTGGTCGACGAGGCAGTGTGTTCTTCAATAAAGCCCCGACAAAGCCAGACCGCTGGCTCACGGCTGAATCTTTCGACCCAGCCTTTTCAGGGGCCGTGGCAAAAAGATCGCTTCGAGGGCCATGCGCGAGGCCTGGTTCGGGTTGTTTGTACTGCGGAGAGGGGTATGATGCCCGAGGCTTATGTCCGGACTTCCGTTCGCGCGGTGATGGTGCCGGTGGTGGTGTTGGTACTTTTTCGACCTCGGGCTCCTCTGACTCCGGCTCGGCCGTGATTTCCGATGCAAATAGGCCATCCTCGCCAATAGTATCCGGTATCGTGGAGAAATATGACCCCTGATGTTCCAGCACGCGGTTCTTCTCTTCCACGGGGGTCGCTCGGGCCTTCATGCGGCTCTGCTCGCGCCCAATGCTAACCCCCACCACGTCGCCGGCGGCATCTTCATCGGTGACCTCGATTGAGTGTGGGAGTGGTTCGTCGCTATCGGAGCTGGAGAAGGATGAATAATGGGAGGGGGAGTCTGAGACGACCAAATTCGAGGATGTCTCCGATGAGTACAATGTCTGGTTCTGCGGGTGTGTTGAGGCGACCGCCGCCGCAGCGGTTTCCGGGGCCAGGCGTGAGGAATATGGTCGGTTGGCGGGGGTTGAGGCCATGGCGATTTATGCCGAGAAAAGAGAAAAGCTCTGAAACCAGTTCAAAGCATGAGGTCGTACAAGTGTGTAACTATCCCAACACTTGGCATTGGATGATGCACACCAATGTGGGCCGCACGTGGAGCAAGAATTCAAAGAGCTTGGCCCTGGATGTATATTGTACAAGGTATATTTGGAAGGAAGAATGTTCAATGTTGTTTTATTTTTCGAGAGATGCGTTCATAAAGGCCGGAAACAGGTGGGTTCCACCAGCACAGCCTTCTCGGGTCGGTCGGATGTTGACAAAAACCTTGGAAGTTTATGATATTCCGGTTTGTACTTGCTTAGTCTTCTTACTTGGTTCTAAGGTTGGTATTGGATGTCTAAAAAATTGTCAAGAATTAAGCAAAATACCAAATGCTTGGCTTAACAAGGTACATGGACTACCTATGAACCTATCTCTTTCATGTACATGTATGATCGACATTCCTATTGAATATGGGGGACGTCCTAAAATTTTGGTATCTTTTTTGCATGTGAGAATTCTAAGGTTGAGATAGAGTCTGTTTAATAAGCCAACACGTTATCCATGGATCTACCCGTGGACTTGGAATAGCTCTACACTCGTATTCGTATACCTTGGAACTATCTATCCCCTCCCAAACCGACCAGTCCGAATCTCCTCCGCACCCTTATTCGCAATCTCCTGATTCCTCTCAGCACCTTCATCAGACCCAAAAGCCCGATCAACAGCCGTATTCAATGCTCCACGCAATGACTCTCCAGCACCCTATACCACAATCAGAACCCCATTTCCCCCAAGATCGAAAACATATCAACTCACATGAACCGACGCTGCAACGCCCTTCACTTTATTTCCGAACCCCTCACCAGCCCTGGCAGCTCTAGAATCCTCAATTTCCGCCCGCTGCGCCGTACTGGCCGTGTGCGGGAGCGGCGCATCCCCTACAACTCGATCATCGCTGCGAGACGGCGACGGTGAGAGCGGTCGCTGGCGGGTCTGAGTTGGTCCACCCGCTGATGACCGCGAGTAACTGGATCCTGTGGCTGGATTGTAGCCCTTGGTTTCGTCGTACTGGGATCGTGTATCGTGCAGGCCTGTTGGGAGGCCTGGGGCGCCGGTCGAGGAGCCGCCACCCACTGCGCCGCGGGAAATTTGGGTCAGATCGGCGTGTTCGTAGCTTTGGTAAGCTCGTGACATGATTGTATATATATTTGATTATTTGTTGGTCTGGTGTTATCAAGGGAATTGTCATTGAGTGTTCTCGTAGTTCTTCGGTTCATACTTCCTTGACAATGACGTCATTATGAAGGCATACAAATTGTATAAATCGGTTTGTTAGCACTGGAGATATCACAGAGCTAGTATGTACATTTGTATATGCATATATCCCTTTTATGTCCAAATAGACGTAAATAATGCATCCCCAAGAAACTGATTATTCAACAACTCCTTCTTTGAGCCGGGGTAAAGCCGAGGTCCAAGGAGCAGTTTTCCTAATATGGAGCGTCTCCGATGCTACATGGATATTTTTATATCTCCGCATTTTCTCCCTTCTTTACAACACAGCTTCTCTCTAAACTGCTAATTCTCCAAACATCCTTCAAAATGTCCAACAAACAAATCATCTACACCACTCCTCCGGCCCCGGCCATCAACCCCTCTCTCAGCAATGGTACCTTCCGCCTAAATACCGTGCCCATCCCCAAAGATGTCCCCACAGACCAGCTCCTCGTACGCGTACACTACCTCTCCCTCGACCCCGCCATGCGCCAATGGCTCACCGCCAAGCGCTCCTACATCGCCCCCGTTGAGCAAGGCGCTATAATGCGCGGCCAGAGCATCGCCCAAGTCCTCGCCGTAGGCAGCGATCTGACCTCCAAGTACACCAAGGGCGACTGGGTCGTCGCCGGCTCCGGCTGGCAGGAGTACGCGGTGGTCAGCGCAAAAGAAGCACAAAAGATAACCGTGCCGGCTGGCGGACGGCCCACGGATGCGATGTCCGTGCTTGGCATGACCGGGCTGACGGCCTACTTTGGTATGGTGGAGATCGCGCAGGTGAAGAAGGGTGACACGGTTGTTGTTTCTGGTGCTGCGGGCGCGACGGGCATGGTTGCTGGCCAGATTGCGCGCATTAAGGGCGCTAAGCGCGTTGTGGGGTTGGCGGGGAGCAAGGACAAGTGTGATTTCTTGGTTAAGGAATTGGGCTTTGATGCTGCGGTCAATTATAAGGATCCGGATTGGAAGAAGCAGCTGAAGCTCGCTACGCCTGAGTACATTGATGTCTTCTTTGATAATACCGGTGGTGATATCCTTGATGCTTGCTTGGCGAGGGCGGCTCAGAATTCGCGCTTTGCTATCTGTGGTGCTATCAGTCAGTATAATGCTGCTAAGCCGCAGGGCCCGGCTAGTTTTATGAGTGTGATTGTGAGTTCTTCCTGGGTTTGGGGGTATTATTTTTTGAGGGGACATCGGGCTAATTGATAACAGTCGCAACGGATCACCTTGAAGGGCTTCATTGTCTTCGATTTTGCGAAGCAATACTCTGCTGCGCTCAAGGAACTCGGCTCTTGGTTGGCTGAGGGTAAGCTCAAGCGCAAAGAGCATATCGTGCCTGGTGGCTTGGAGGCGGCGCCTCAGGGTCTTATTGACCTCTATGCTGGTGCTAACACCGGTAAGATGATGGTTGAGGTGGCGCCGATCAGCGAAGCGTTGGCTCCAAAGGCCAAGCTCTGAGTATATCTATGGACAGCACGTATTTGTCTACTAGCTTCATATGTAGGTACTAAATATATTTCCAGCTGGAGCAAATCTCAAAATATTTCCAACCGAAGTCAGCTTAATATTAAACAGTAAAATATATCCCATCGAGTTCTTTTTTTTTCTTGTTCTCTGTTTTCGGTCTACCTAGGTAGTTACGAACTAGATAACTATTGATATTAAATAGATAAAACTTGATTTTGGAATATAATGGTTAAAAATTACCAATAGTCATAATCGGTTCCATAACTCAGTTGGTTAGAGTGCGATGCTAATAACGTCGAAGTCGAGGGTTCGACCCCCTCTGGAACCACGATTTCCTTTTTTCTTTTTTCTTTTATTTTTATATAAATTCCATCATAATCGCTCTCCTCTACTAAGGTATCGAATGTTTGTACTACTTACTGTAGAATTAGATTAAGTAGAAAGTTTATTTTGCTTTATTCTTTATATGCCCAAACATTATGGACTTACAGGATTGTTGTTTTGTGCAGAATGGGTTACGATAAACGCAATTTGAATTGTACGACAGTGTCTCGCTTCTTCAAGATTTGCCGTTTATTCTAGCTGCATGAAATTTATTAAACTTTTCGCTAGCAAACTGAGCAACCTTCCATGTTTCTATCTTAAGCATGAAATAAAAGCTCTGCCACTGGGTTGTGCCCGTTTTGCTTAGCGATAAATAGTGGTGTCCGACCCTAAAAGCCTTTCAAGTTCATATCAATCTTTCCTGTCTCGAGCAGCAATTTCACAATTGCCTCTTGCCCAGTATCTGCTGCCCAGAACAATGGTGTCTAGCCCCTATGGTCTATCGAATTCAAGTTTACTTTCTCTGTCTCAATCAATAGTTGCACCACGGTTGAGTATTCCTTTGCTGTAGCGTAGGATAATGCAGTTCGGCCCCAATACCCTATTAAGTCCATATCAACCTTCCCTGCATCGAGTAACAGCTTCGCTACATTTTTGTGGTTATTCTGTGCCAAAATGGCAAGTGGGGTCCTTCTCTAAAAGTCCTTCGAGTCTATACTAACAGTTTCTGTCTGAAGTAGCAACTTCACCACCGCCTCCTGCCCATTCTCTGCAGCCCAGAACAATGGCGTCCAGCCCCTAAGGCCAACAGAGTCTGCATTTGCTTTTTTCTGTCTGCATCAATAAGTGCACGATGGACTCGTGTCCTTTTGCTGCAGTGTAAGAAAGAGGCGTGAGGCCAATATCATCTGTTATACTGATATTAGCTCCTCCTAGGATCAAATGGTGAGCGGTAGCCTCATTCCCATTTTTAGCAGCCCATAAAAGAGCGGAGCTCCCTAAATTTCGAGCATTGTTTCGATAGAGCCATGGGCTCAGGATAGTATGAAGGCGGACACATGTTCGAGACAATGAGCTTATATCCTTTTGTTCTTCCAGGAATAACAACAGCAACAGAACCAATTCTGTTGGCAGCATTAACAGAAACATTTGATCTGAAAGGTTTAGGTGTTGGAGAATCGGTGTTAAAGTTTCAGGCATATTGCCAGGGAGGTACTCTGCATGGCTTGATTGCAGTAACTCTCCCGGGGTAATAGTTTCCTCTAAACACTCTATTGGTATTAACCAGATTGGTGGGAAGGGCAGCTCCTGGATAAGTCTTGTTTGGGAGACAATCAAGACGACGAAGTAACTCGATACTTGAACACTTGAGGAAGGGTGTTCTGCAATTTCCGACTCTGTAGACCAAACATCGGAGTGCTTGATTCTAATTTTAACAAATTACAGTCCCACATTTCTTCATCTTTCTCTAATGACTTGCGAGTGGCGGACACAATTTTCGGATTTGATGTTAACCAAAAGGCGCCCCAACAATTTGTTGACAAAACCGTTGTTTTCTTTTAGGGTCATTTTGCCCCACGTAGATTATAGTGGATCATCTGATAATAAAAATCCATGGATGATGATTGACATCGAATGTGTCAAAAGTCTAAATTCGCTCCCGACGCTTCTGGCCACATGCAGTCAACCTTTTGGAACTGGTCTAGCCCCCGCACGTGGCCATCTCTACCTAGGTACTCTTGTGAACAAAAGCCTAAAAAAAACAAAACTCCTCACTCAGACCTTAAAAGTTCTATAATGACAAGAGAACAGGTGACAAAATGATTCATCGTTTCTTTGGGTGTTCTCGGATATAAATCACTAATGACCACTCATTAAGTATATATATTCCTAATTCCATACGAAAGTGTTACACCAGTGACTTAGGCCAGAAATCATATTGTGTAATACAACAAACAATGGCACCTACTCGAGACCCCAAGGATGTGCAGGCATGGCTGATCGGAAGCGGTGTCGCATCACTTGCGGCTGCGGTACATTTGATTAATCAGACAAAGGTTCCGGCCCGACAAGTCCACATCCTCGACGTCCATCATGGCTCCGGCGGGGCCATGAAAACATCAGGTAACTCGCAAGATGGATATATGCTACACACAGGCGCACAGCCGTACTTTCACGGCGACTGTGTGCAGGACCTTCTTGCGATGATTCCCAGTCCAGCCAATCCGGACCAGACTGTCTGGGAGGATATCAAAGAACAGGAGTTGCATTCAAAGCCGTTTAACAGAGCACACACGCGTGCTATTAGGAAAAATAATGAAGGAATGCGCAACGTTGACATGCACGATTTGCGAATCGGCGGAAAGCTGCGCTTGGATTTGATTACATTTATTCTGGAGGGCGAGAGGAGGTTTGATTCAAAGAAGATTTCCGACGTTTTCGAAGACAAGTTCTTTGAGTCAGAATTCTGGGCTCTGTGGTCAACAACGTAAGAAAATCACTTTCTTCAGTTTAATTTATGGAAACTGATTGCTCTGCAGCTTCATGCTTCAACCGTGGCATAGCGCAATCGAGTTTCACAGATTGTTGGCCAAATACCTCCCTGAAATGAATGTCCATAACGATGTGCGAGAGTTGGACAAAACACCTTTCAGTCTTTACGAATCATTGATAATGCCCGTCACCACTTATTTGAAGAACCAAGGAGTTGACTTCCGGTTCCATGCGATGGTCACTGACCTCAAATTGTACCCAACCAGTGACCCAACGACCATTTCAGAGATCGTGGTGTTGGAGAACGAAAAGGAAATGCTTATCACGGTAGATCCCGTTGACATAGTCATCGTGACACTAGGATCGCTGTCTACCGGTAAGCAGACCGGATCCAACGCCGAACCCCCTCAGCCATATTCTTTGTCCTCAGATACATTGAAGCATGGAGAGTGGGGATTATGGCAAAAGCTTTCCAATGAATCTTCTAAGTTTGGCAATCCCCTAAACTTCTTATCGCGCCTGGATGAGTCGAAAATCGAGACATTCACCACTACCTTGCATGATTCGGACTTTATGGAGCATTATGCCGGACTCACTCATGATAAGCCAGGCACAGGGGCTCTCCTCACCGTGTTAGAAAGTCCATGGGGATTGAACATCAGCGTCTCTCATCAACCAGTATTTGCGACTCAACCGAAGAGCGTACATGTTGTTTGGGGCTACGGCCTACACCCGGAAAAAAAGGGAAAATTTGTTCAAAAGCCGATGGAAATATGTTCTGGTGAAGAAATTTTCTTCGAGCTTTTGTCCCTTTTGGGGTTCCCCGTCGACTCACTTCTTCCGTCGTCGATCACAATTCCATGTATCATGCCACTTGGGACATCCATGCTTCTATCTCGGACAAAGAATGATCGTCCACGCGTGCTCCCCCATGAGACTACTAACATCGCTTTTATCGGCCAATTTGTTGAAATCCCTGATGACACCACGTATAGCTTTGAGTACAGTGTCCGAGGAGCGCAAATGGCAGTGTGTGGTCTATTGAATCTGGGACATAGTCCTAAGAAAATTAAGAAAAACAGACTCTTGGAGGTCTTCGGTTTGTTGGTGTGAGAAATAATGTCTATATTATCAAGCTATTCAGGACTAACTGTGGCTTTCTGTATTGTTTTGATTTGTGGATATCAGAGTTTTTGTTTCTCGGAATTATGTTACCTAAGTATGTGGATCGCAATGTGATATTGTCTAATTTTAATTCAGAAATGTTTCCTTTCAATTTATATAATAATCCCATTGAATGAGTATAGCACCGTTTGTGCAAACACTAAGCACTACGATACAGCATTCCACCTTGAAAGTTACATCCCAATTTGAGTAAAAATAACCTCGAGAAGCTAGAGATTATATCACGAAGAGCTTTCCACAGGTTCCGTGTCAACAGTGATTTTCGTAGTAGTAGCGGTCGAGTCAGTCTTTGGTACTGTCATTGAAAGGACCCCATCCTTCAAGCTCGCGTGAACTTTTTCCTGGTTGACAGCAGATGGGAAATTGAAAGTTCGTCGGAAGTCACCAACGGATCGTTCAGAAACCCACCAAGAGCCTTCACCAGAAGTTGAATCGCGCTCGGTATGGCCCTTGATGTTGAGGGAATGTGAATCTTGGAATTCAATATCCAGATCTTTGGCTTTGACACCTGGAAGATCCCCACTTAGGTGGTATGCATCTTCCGTCTCGCGAATGTCAAATGATGGCGCGAAAATTCGGAGATTCGCCCTGTGTTTGTTGGAAAACAACTGATCATAGTCGTCCCAGAGGTGGCCGACTGCTGAAAGTGGCCCGCGGTTAAACTGAGGGATAATAGAAATGTTCTTTGAAGTATGTCCTAACTGAGTGTAGGGTATATGGCCGACTTTTTGTGCTTGTCGTTTCGTCGACGAAGTAGCTGCAGGTAGACTGCCCCGCAAGGTATATCTGAGATTATGTCGCAACATCGGATAGTTTTGTTCTAGAAAGCCGATGTAAGTAACCAAGGATTATATGCTCAGCCGTACCCTAGGTGGCGAGGTTATTTATTTTCAGGTCGCAACTGAATCGATACGTTGGTGACGTTAACAATTATTCGCAGACTTGGACCAGTCTGTCTTCTCGAGCGAGCAAAAACGTGGAACGAAATTAAGTTTCGAACATGAGGTACGAATCAAGCATCATCGGATGATCTCAAGTCTCACCGTCATTGTGGCGGATCTTCTTACCTAGTTATTGTGTAATGCTAGATAAGACAAGGAGGCCAAAATGATAGTCATGAAAGACTCGTGTTCATTGTCCTGGAAACCTGCGTATTAGATATCGTATTTATAGTATTATATATCACCTCAGAGAGTATAAGGTCTGTCAAGCTGTACTCACCTGGCATATATTCTCTTTGATTTACTGTTCATGGCCATGATACTAGAAAGTCTGTTACATCGGTGCTACCTTCGGCACATACCACGTAACACATTGTTCAGCGCTGGAAGGACCTACAAAAGATCCACTTCAAACATACAAGCACTCCCTATCTCTATACCACGACCTCGGTTTTTCTCTGACTTCTCCTCTCGAGATCATTCAAATCGCATGGAGGTGCGATCCCTGACTATGATCACTTAAACATAGCTGATTTGATCGTGGCTTCAGCTCCCGACAGAGATGAAAGGCCTCGTCTACACGGGTACCAATCAATATGAAGTCCGAGACTGCGCCTTGCCTGAAATTCAATCACCCACAGATGCGATTGTTCAGATGAACCACACAAGCATATGTGGGACAGACCTGCATATTCTTAAAGGTGATGTGCCAACAGTCGAGCCAGGTCGGATTCTTGGCCATGAAGGGGTTGGGGCTATTGTCTCAGTGGGTTCGGCCGTCACCGATTTCTTCGTCGGTGATAATGTTCTAATCTCGTGTATTACTTCCTGTGGTACGTGTGCACCATGCAGGAAGGGTATGAACTCACATTGCGCGACTGGAGGATGGGTACTTGGAAACGTGATTGATGGCACGCAGGCGGAGTACGTGCGGATTCCGCATGCGATCAATTCACTATACAAGCTACCTGGAAATATTGATCCTGCAGAGATGGCCGGTTTTTCCGATGCATTTCCGACGGGAATGGAATGCGGGACGCTGAATGCTGATGTTCAGCCTGGTAAATCTGTGGCAATTGTGGGAGCTGGTCCGGTTGGTCTTGCTGCAATGCTCACATCTAAGTTATATTCGCCTTATCCTATCGTTGTGCTTGACAAGGAAGATAAAAGGCTCGAACTAGCCAGAAAGCTTGGTGCCGACCAGGTTATTAACGTGGACGCGTTCAACGCTATGGAAGAGCTCGACTCGGTTGTCGACGGAAAAGGCTTCGATTGTGTTATGGAAGCTGTCGGAACACCAGCAAGCTTCGATCTATGCCAAAAATTAGTGGCCCCAGGGGGTTCTTTGGCAAATCTTGGGGTTCACGGCCAAAAGGCAACTCTTGACCTTGACCACCTCTGGGATCACAATATTAGTAAGTCTAACTTACAAGTACTTACAAGTATGACTATATACTAAGCAGCTGCATAAGGTATCAAAACTCGGTTGGTCGACACAGTCACTATCCCGACACTTCTCCGGCTTTTCCAAGCGGGCCGCTTCCAATCAACATTACTCACGCACCGTAAGTTAACTAGATATGTTCTTGTATTGATATACTCTGTGAGCGCCATACTAATGTAACTACAATTTCCAGGCTATCAATTCCAAGATATTTTGAAGGCTTATCAAGCATTCCAAACGGCTCCCCAAAAGGGTATCTTGAAGGTCGGAATTTCTTTCTGATTGCAAGTATAATCCGAAACTACCAGAGAATAAAAGTTTATCGTCGATTATTCAAAGTCTGTCAAGGTTGCTATTTCTGTGTACTCTGTGTACTCTGTGTACTCTGTGTACTTAGGTCAAAAATCCGACTAATTATAATGTGTATTATTATGCAAATATCAATTGTTTTAGGATTGTCTAAATCGATATCTACAATCAATAGGAACCACCGGTGGAATAGAGCCTGCCAATTATCCTTTCATGAAACCTATAAAGTTTTCCTATTTGGAAAGACAGCTCTACATATAGATTTAATAGTAGGCCATCCCTTGTTTCTCCCAATCATGTAATGAATTAAGCGGACGTGTTGCAAGTTGAAATGCAGACCTTGGGTGAAAGAATCGGTGTCTGAATTGTAGCGAAATGACCCAGAAATCCAGGTTTGATGTCAATCACCCTCGCCAAATTGGGACAACTGTTTGATATCAGTAGGCAATAACTAAATAAACAGTCGTAAACTCGAGAGGCTTAGTACAGATCAAATTCAACATGCTTTACACCACGTAATAGATAACTCTCACCTACTTCACTTTTCAGTCCTAAATGCGGGACTTTCCAATGTGGGAGGTTATTGATAGTAGACTTCATTATCGAAAAGCCGACAGAGGGTTGTTTCCATGAAGATAGGGAATTTACAATAAATGTTTCTTCTCCGCGGTGTTAGTGGATTGGCTTCGTTGCGCAGGCAGCCTCTTTGAGTGAACTTAAAGGCACAACTACAAATGACATTCGCATGTTTACTTTGTTCTGCTAAAACTGGTTGATAAGGAACATTGAGGATAATTGACCAGTTGCTCCCCATCAAGGAGACCATCAAGGAGACCATCCAACCTGTCATTAGTCGGCTAGGCGTAATTTTCTTATAAGATACCATTTAATCTCTAGTACTTCGAACATGATCCCCAAATTTCCAAGATACAAGAGTATTGATGCCATGGCCGCTAACTACAGACCATTTGGTCTTTCCAATTCAAATACAAGTTGTAAGGTGAAGAGATACTTTCCCCCAGAGTTACACCCGCACTACTTAAGCCCGAAGTAGTGATAGCTATGGCTATATTATCTGCCGTCTCCTCAAAGATCTCAATTTCGGTGTTCGGTTGGATGGGGAGGCTGATATTTCCATAACTTGTTTCGGGTTGTCCACGATGAGGCAGATCGCAGACATTTTCGCCTCTTTAATTTACACAGATTTGTGCTGCCTCAATAACAATAAATAACAATAAATAAAAAGATCACTCAGTTTTGCCAAAACACGTATAGTATAGGTGGCGGTCACGCGGAACTAGAGTTCTAGACCTGCCTAGATATAATATGTTGTCATCGGACCAATCCAAGCTGTTAAGATCCATGGGCGATCGCAGAAATGACTTCGAAAAAGACGGACCACATGAACAATTCTCGCCGCATCCAACTATGCAACTCAATTCTCCACAGATCTACTGGCTCACCCACAATTGAATAGTATGCATATTTCATTAAATCATATATCAACTGCCAAATCTGCATGTGCATAATGGGAAGTATTTATTGTCTGAGTATATCGCGTCAACATGCCTTTCTTGTCTTACGCCAAAGCAGCCGAATTGAGAAGGCAGCTTGGGGATAATGCAGAGGTTCTCACCTTTGGTTCAGAAGGTTATGCTGAGAGCCTCAGGAGATGGAGTGATGCCTGTGAAAAGGAGGCTGTAAGTATTTCAGGTTTCAAAAACACATCGTCGCTCCACCGTAATGAATATATTAGTCGTTACTTTCCCGTCTCAATATAAACTCGCTCTTTCTAATATCTAATTTCAAATTCGCAGGGAGCCGTTGTGCGTGCTACATCCACCCAGCAAGTCGCGACTGTTGTCAGTTTTGCAAGGAGAACCCACGTCCCTTTTGTGATCAAAGTTGGAGGTCACTCCACAGATGCGGCATCCTCAACGCATGGCGGAATCGTCATCGACTTATCCAAAATGTGCAAAGTGGTTGTAGATCCAGCTAGCAAGACTGTGGCAGTCCAAGGAGGTGCAACCTGGCGAGATGTTGACACAGCCACAGCACGATATGCACTTGCTATTGTCGGAGGCACCCTTGATTTAAGCGGGGTTGCTGGAACTACGTTAGGGGGAGGATACGGCTGGCTGACTGGTAGATATGGCCTCGCTATTGACAATCTCCTAAGTGCGAGGATTGTCCTGGCAGACGGCAACGTTATTGTTGCATCTGAGACGGAAGAGCCTGACTTGTTTTGGGCCATTCGAGGTGCAGGACCGGCCTTTGGAGTGGTCACCGAGCTTGTATTCCAAGCGCATGATCAAAGATCTCCAGTCTATGGAGGGCTACTGAAATTTTCCCCTGAAAGATTGAGAGAAATCGTCGAGTTTGCCAATTCCTTCGGGACAAGCTCAACCAAGGACCAGGGGCTATATTTAGGATTCACGTGTGCTCCGCCTGAGCACAAAGCGGCAATATTTGCTATACTCTTCTATAATGGGCCCCTTAAGGAAGCAGAAAGACTTTTTTCGCCGCTGCTGTCTCTTGGGCCAATTGTGAATGAAACCGATATGATGCCTTATGAGCAACTCAACACCATTATTGAACGATCCACTTCTTCAACTGGCCGCAAAAGTATGGGTGGTATTGATATTACCTTGCCTCTGGAGTTCCAAGCTGTCCATCACCTTTTTGAACAATACGAAACAATTCTGAGGACGAATCGACGCGTTGAGGAATCTACATTGACATTCCAGCTGCTGCCATATGCTGAGGTTGCCAAAGTCCCCGTGGAGTCCACTGCTTGTGCCAATCGGGGACATACCTACAACGCGTGTGTTGTTTTTTGCTGGCATGACCCAGATCAAGACACAAAGATGCACAATCTCCTGCACAGCTTTCTGGCGGAGGTTGAAGCATGCGGAGGAATACGAGATTATGAGATACATCACCAAGGTATAGGAATAGCGTACGCCAATTTCGCTGGTACGTTAGATTGTTCCTAGCTAATCATGCTGTGCCAATATACAAAACAGCTGACAAAATACAGGGAAAGAAGTTCCTTTGGTTGATATTTTTGGGGCAAACCTACCCCGGCTGCAGCTCCTGAAAACAAAGTACGACCCGGACAATGTGTTCAAAAGGTGGCATAATTTACGACGTTGAAAATGATTTTATTCTATAAATGCTGCAGAGTTTGATAATCTGAAAGTTAGTGATCAGGCGGTCATTTGAAGATTTTGGTTGATCTACTTACATTTCGATCAAAAAGGGAATGAAATATTATGTGGGAAGCTAGGCAGTCTACCGGCCACGGTTTTACTTATCAGGTTGTCCAAATTAGTTTTATGCTATTTGGCTATGAAGTTATGTATAGTTTTTCCTGGGGAAATTCGATTCTTGCACTTAACTTCATGGACATGGAACTTAAAACTTGTGTAGAAGCTGCCTAGTAAGAAAACGCGGATGAGCGTCAGACAGATGGGATGACTTGATGTAGGTTATTGGTGTGGAATAGAAGATCAAAATGTTGACTTGGATAATATTTTCTCCGCTTAAGCTAGTAACTGGAAGGAGAAGGCCGGCAGTCATATCACAAAAGATTGCGCACAATCTTATCTATATAATTGATGGGTGAAATTTAGATGGATGTTGAATGTAGCCTGCAAAATGCAGCACCTAAGTTAGTGCAGTTTGATCCCGATTGGGTGCGTTCAAAGTTTGATGTTGAGCCTCCTCTCACGCAGGCATCCCCCATAAGGGGGTTTAAATACTCCGAACCAAACACGATAGCAAATTTCAATGAGAACCCCCAGACTCCTTTCCTTGGTCAAGTCCTCTGAAGTAACCTTTTAAACCCACTGAGTACCCGTAATTCAAGAAAAACTCTGGTTCTCCATATGTGTCAATTCACAGTGCAATCAGCCAGTCAAGGGAATCTCAGCCGCTCAATCCAGGAGGCCCATGAGTTAATTTCCCAGTCAGAGATCTTCGAGGGGGATGCGAAACCCTAAAGAGAGGGAATTCGATATTGGCCTTACTAGGGATAGAAATGGGTCTATATCCTGCGTCGTCAATCGTGTATCCCAGTAATGAAAGATACCGGGCTAGAAGGGGTTTTCAATGACAAATGAATCTGTGAATTTCGTCTCAAATTACAATTTGAAAATTTGTTTTCGGAACCGGAATATCGAGCCATCCAACCTCTCCTGCATATGACATACTGAACTACTAGTAGTAAACATGACAGCATGCCTATAGTGCAGAATGGTTTTAGCAGTTGCTCTTTTTTTCTTCGATTGGACTTGTGTGCAATTAGGCATTATCTTCGTTGACTGCGGTCTATGGTGTCCTATTAGTCATGAAGTTTTGATGAGTTTAAGTATAATGCTTAACTTTTGAATCTTCCAACTCTTGTTCGATGCTCCTCTTTCCCTCTTCCAATCCCTCACTGTAAAATGATTTGTTGCCTTTCCTCTTCTTAATTCGCTCAGTAATGCGGACGTTCCTGCCGGGAGGCTCGAAATGTTTGGCATCTGAAATTTGCTTCTTTTGAAGAATCAAATCTATGGATTTGATTTCTTCCGCGTCGAGTGACCCTTTGTACACTGCTTCTCCGCAAGGAGGAGTTGGGTCGTTGGGAGATTGAGCTGGCGTTGTTGTGTACGAAGATTGTTCAATTAGTCTCCGTGATGCCAGGGCGCTCGCAGGCATGTAAATAAATCTAGAGCCATCCGCCATTTTTATCGAAGCCTTGTGCTGATGAGGTTTGAGGAAAGGGGCTTGGAAATGTTAATTTGCTGAGCAAAGATATTTCTCAGAGCTTTTGCGTAATTTAAGAAGCCTATAAAAGGAAAAGGGTAAGCCTAATAAAGATGATTGATTGGAGGACGACAATAATGTATAGGATTATCTCATAATAGAGATAAATATTGTGGGTGTCAAGTTTTCGAAATTTAAACTGACATCCCAGCGGTCTAGCCCCAGGAGGCGTTAAAAGTCGCGTGGTCTAGCCCCGCCCGATCTGTTATTGGCCCAAGGATAGTCTAAGGTTTACAAAGGCGTTGTATTATTATTGTATTATTATCAGACTAATAAGACTAAAATATCCATGGATATCATCCATGGATGAGATTGTAATTTATCGCTATCACTAGTTATGGTGTTCTGAGGTGGACATGTCCGACCAAAGTCGAAGGCCGAGAATGTCCTGTGCCAGCAGATCTCAAATGTTTGCCCGTTGTGCTTATTCCGTGCGATTTATGTTGCAGTTATTTAAGGAATATCGAGCAAGGCCGGCAGATAACTTTAGGCAGGCCAGAACTTAGTTGCGTCACCTAGTCGAACGTTTCTATACTTTGGTAGAGTCTTACTCTACTGACTATTTGATTCTTGAATGTCCGCCTCTGTTAGCAGTTAGCCATATTCAGTGTCGAGCTACTAGGATAATAAGGTATCTTACTACGATATCTCTTGAAGAATTTAATTATGTTGGTTAGTGTAAACTATAACCACGTCAGGCATACGCATATTGATCTAGTAAGTATAGAGGAATTAAGGGAGAATCAAGATAGTGCCTTTAGGTTATTACTCGCAATACTAAGTTATCGACATGAGAAGGCGCCTACTATTATAACACGAACGTTAGTGAAGCTAATACACCAGCGAGACGTAGAGTATAGAGTTTGAATATTTGAATTGCTGGTGAGATATGAAGTCCAACTCAGGAACGGTTTAGGGACAGTCTGCTATATGCACCTTTGTACGTACAACTAGGGTGTACCACTTCCTCTAAACGATCCTAGAGGTTCCTCGCCTTTGAGAGCAGGAAGTGCAAGGGGCTCTGTGTTCTTTTGGAACGCAACAACTCTAAGGAGCTATTTCGATATCAGGATTCTTCACGGCAGCAGTGGTTTCCTAACAGAATTCTTGCCAGAAAAGTCAACCTCGACTAGGATCCTATGTTGGACAATTGGGAGTGAACCTGGAGACCCAAGAACGCACCGTATTTAGGATAGTACGAAGTGTGTCACACTGTCCATACAAATTACCTGTGAATGGTCCATAATTTTGAATTGATCAAGAGATCGTATCCATTCAGGGTTCCATAAATCGAACCTGTATTATTTAACGCAATACTGGCTAATTGTTCAACGGATGAAGAGCACGGAGAACTGTTTCGCAAGACAAACATGAGATGAAAGAGAAAATGGGAATAAAGAGCCCGTTCTCGGCATATACAATTGCCATAAGATAGAAACATTAAATTCAATTCACTTAGCCCTCTGCAAGTAAATCAAAAATGTCCAAAAGAAGATTTTGCTTTGGTTTTGGTGGTGATTTTGGGAGCCCCATTAACCGGTAGACTGCGGCCTGAGCTCCCCGTACGCTGTATTGCAAATTAAAGGTTGGGTCATGTGGAATCTCAGCGAATATCCCAACAAGTGCAATATTAGTAGTGTGGGGAGGTATGACCTCTGGTCGATTCTTCGGATACCTAGGCAACTGTGCTGAAGTTGCCAAGGGGAACAAACAAGGAATGGTAATTGAATGGGGAAGGAGACTCTTAATCGGAAAATTCAGGTGTGAGAGCAACTCGACCATGATCTCCCTTCCAGCGCATTTAGTCATTGGCTTGTCGACAAAATTCCCAATCCCCTCAGGCCGCAACCCATATCCCCAGATGACATGAGTATTTGGTGGCTGACCTGAGCATACTGGCTGGTGAGGAACACTGATACTAAGCAGCCAGTTGCTATTAGGGAGCGAAAGAAGAGCACCAGATCCAGGAACGTCATGGGTCACCACTCGATAGAGACGCATAAACTCGGAGTCTTTCAATGTGACAGTGAATGTCACTAGTGTAGACTCTTGAGTGTGCGAATTGAAATTTAAAGGAACGCCAAATTTCGTAGACTTCTGCGCTAGATGAATCCATAGTGACCAGTCCTCATACCTCAAGTCATTTGGCACAGAAGGCTGAGGCGGGGGGTCCAAGTTGTTTCCTACCTGGTGGCCTGAGTAGGGTGACCCAATAGTGACAATCGCAAAATCATTGGGATTGAGATCGACAATTCGTTCTTCCTCATTTTCTTGTAGAACAATACTAGTAATAGTGGTTGGTTCACTCGACTTGTCGTCCGTGTCGTCCGTGTCAAAGCGAATATCAACAACCTTTGCATTGAAACGAAAATTAACGCCTTTCGATCTGAGGTATGTAGAAATTGGCAAGATGATAGATTCATATAGGTTATAACGAGTGCGATCCAATCTTTTGACATCGTTCAGTGAGTGAATATCGGGAAGATATTTGCGAAGGCATCTTTGAAACTCGATGACACTGTGCGAAGGTCGCAAAGAAAATCTACCCGTGAGTGTTAGCGGGTAAATGGAGCATGTTCGTCATGATCCGGCAAACTCACGTAGTGGACCATAAGACCCAGAAGTCAGTATCGAAAAAATCATTACCAAAGAAGTTCTTTATTTGATGATGTCCTAACGTATTTTCACTTTCCACCAGGACTTTGAGGAGCTGAAGCCGATTATACGGCCCGATCGAGAGGTGAGTAGCATCGGATCTTTCACACTTTCCGTCTTTGTTTCTCAAAAAACGTGTCTGGGCTTTTATTCCAATTGAGAATTTTTCGCTCAATTCAAAATCCCCGACTGCGTCCAACAGGGATTTATCCGAAACTCGACCACTCGGGATCAAGGACAACAAATTGTCTACTGATTCATCATTGAAATATGGTAAACATCCGGGGTGCAAAACAAAGCCGTGTTTGGCATCCCCATAGCTCCTGATCCCTCCTCCCGTCTCACCATGGTGATTAAGAATATTTATGTTGCATCCTGGTAACCCGGCATCGTGAATAAGATGCACAGCAGCAGCAAGTGAAGCGATGCCACTGCCAACTAGCCACGCTTGCGTACTTTCAGGATCGCGAACACGTGAACATTTATCATCCATTATTGCGTTTTGCTGTGATTGTCTCGGAGTCATGAATTAAAAAAAAAGATGACTTGATATCACATCCTCGCTCGCTCCATGCTTGATTAATATAGCTGGAAGTCTCACTCGATTACATCACAATGAACATTTCGTACCAATCCTGACAAACAGGTAAATCAAAATCTATTGATTTTATGGGAGTGGCATGACCATGAGGGTGAGCACGGGCTGAGTTAGTGCATGGTTGTAGTCAACCATGGGATAAACATATATTGTCAAGCTAATAGTCATCATGTGGCTAACATCCCGCCTGTATCAGCGGTACTACACTTGGCTAGAACGCGATCTGTTGTCGGTTCCGCGGATCATCCACTTAACGTATTTAACTAGCGAACCGGCCACCCAACCAATTGTATTATTTTCAAATGTAAATATCTCAACCAAAGCTCCATTAAATTAGATACACTAAAACAATCTATCTAGCAGGGTACCTATTCAATTTATACCCTATCTCTCATACCCACCACATCTTTTTCGGGCCCGAATACTGGCAATCCCACCACCTCAAATATATCACGCAAAAACCCAAGAAAAAAGCGCGTATAGATAGTAAGAGCATTGAGGGTCTTACTCTCTAGTATTTCTTAAAGCTCATAGAAGAGCATAAACTCCTACCTCATAAGATTTATAATTAGGATGAGACCTAAAGACAGGGCCCACTGCTTGAGCGAGCATTTCAAAAGCTCCGATGAGCCCATTGCACATTGGCCGTTTATTGAGAGGAATAGTGAGTGCGAGAATACTGAATAGGACATTAGTTTCTCATAAGACTTTTCCAGGCAAAAGGTCAGTTACTTGAGACTACCTGACACTACTCCTGCGAACCCAATCCCAGTGACTGCTCGACCGGTAATGATAGCCGAATTTGGTGAAATGCCATGCCGGATAGAAGCGATCCGACCTCAAAAGTAAAAATAGCGGAAATAAACGTTTTCTTGATAGGAAAAATATTGTACAGCTTTGCAAAAAGAAATTGGCATGAGCAAGCTACGAAGAAACTGAAAACGACTCAGCTCTTTTCACGACAGAAAGGAGATATAAACTTACTAGGCAGAACAATACCAGCCAACGTCGTCGAAGCTGTCAAATTGGTTGACCAACGTCGGAATTATTGTTCCAACCACGGTAGCGTCCTTTAAAAGAAAGATTAATTATTGTGTTTGAAGTCAAAAATGCAAGCGAAGCAAGTGCTGAGCTTATAGGGCCGACGAGGAGAATAGACAATGTCAATGTAAATATGATTATTATAAGACGGGGATTTGGCGGCCTCCTTGTTTCATTAGAGACCCTTCAACTGTGCAAGTCTTTTCTAGTGTTCCGGGGCCAGATTGCGCTTTTTCAGCTGGATCTGCTTCAAGCATCTCGAACGAATCTGGGGCTGCGACGGTCACGGCCGCTGGCTTCTCATGACTTGTATTTTGCATGTCAAAAGCAAGATCTTGGATAGATGTGGGGCCTTGAAGGTTGACTTTCAAAAGCTTGTTCGGTGAAAAAATCAATCAAAACTATCGAGAAAAGTCACTGTTTAAGATTGGCGTTACTATAGAATTCTCCGACTTATCTGGCTAAAGCCTTGGAGATCATACTATGTCGCAATTGGCTTCGTCCATCAAATGTTGCAGCGCAAAAAAATACAAAAAATAAAACCACAAAGCATGACAGGATATTATCCGAACACAGTCAGTAGAGCCGATAACAAATAGAACTTGGAAAAGTAACGCGAAGGGATTCAACTCTACACTGGTAGCTGAGGTTATATTGGAGAATGCCCCATATTATCGGCTGTCGCAGTTCACCGTCAACCTGTTCTGGACCTTTCTCAACTAATCGACTCATGCTTTACTAGAGTGGATTTATATAGGCCCGATAAGAGGGCATCCACTGCGGCCGGTCCGCCTATGGGGCCGGTCCGCCTATGGGGCCGCCTCGTCTGTGGAATATGTTAGCCTATCAATCGTTTATCTACCATACTAATAATATAATAACTAGGCTGCCTACCCAAGTGAGGGGGTGAGGGAGGGGTATGTAACATCGGCTTTCAGGCAGGCTCCCCTTATCTGGGGATTTAACACAGACATCTAAATCCGAACGGCGTTCGTGGCAATCTTCGGATCCCTTTGGTAATCATTATAACGTATCTCACCACCGAGTGGCCATCCCCAATACACATAGGAAATACGATAAATTGAGACTTGATATCTCAACAGCCACCAATTTGTTTTATTTCGTTGTGAGCCGGTAGCTGTCGTAACATCTTATACTGGAGCGTTTTGAGCGTTTGGGCCCCACAGGTAAGACATCAAGTGCAAAAAAAACATCTCCAACAGAATGTGACTACGCGAATCTCGGGGCTCCCCGTGGCGGAGTCGTCATATTCAAGCAACAACTTCCACTGAGGATCTTTTCTATACCTTAAAGCACATTGTACTCTCAAGATCCATGGTAATCGGGCATAGAAAGTTCATACCATCAACATTTTCATGGAAAAATTACCTTTGCTCCCAGAAGTTGCCACAAAACAGCAAATACGGGCTTCTAGCCTAAAATGCTGGGTCATTGTGTCGTTAATTCTGACATGTTCTGGGGTTGCTCTGAACATGTGGCCAGTCTTATTACCGACAAGAAGCCAGCCTGTGACTCTCAAATACAATGGTGAACAGATGGTTTGGGAACCTTGTGGATTTTACAAGGGGAACTCCGCGGAGTGCAGCAGCATCGATGTCCCTATGGACCAATTCAACCAAAGTAATTCCGAGGATGCAAGTTTCACAATTCCACTCATTCGCATTCGTGGTATCAACGCAACTCAAAACATTCTTCTGAATCCAGGCGGCCCTGGGGCGAGTGGCTTCGAATTTCTCAATCAGCATGGAGAGCAATTGAGGGCTGTGGTCGGCGAGGGGTTCCACTTGCTATCGTTCGATCCCCGCGGCGTGGGTGGATCAACACCGTTAGCCTCTTGCTATCCAGATACCAGAACTCGAGAGCATTTGGCTCCAGTCAGATTCCGCAATGTCAAGATTGACAGCCCTGAGGCATATGCTTGGACACAAAATTTTGTCAAGGCATGCCCGGAAAATATGGGAAAGCACGCCAAGTATTTAAATACCCCTCAAACGGCGGCGGATATGAATTATATCCTAGATGCTCTTGGACAAAAAGACATGATATATTGGGGTTTCAGTTATGGAAGCCTGCTCGGACAGACCTATGCAGGACTTTTTCCTGAGCGATCGAAACGTGTCATTATCGATGGCGTCGTGGATCAGTTCAAATGGTACGATGGTACTTTTGAAACGAAGTCCCAAGTCGACACGGACATGGTACTTCACGGGTTTTTTGACGAGTGCGTCAAAGCAGGCTCAAAATGCTCACTCTCATCACTTTCAACATCTTCGGAGGAACTGCGAGATATGGTGCTTTTATCTATGAAAAAGCTCCAAGAGGAGCCAATCAGCGCATACGTGAACAAGGCGTTATATGGTATACTTCGACATGAAAAATTATGGTACGATGGTGTTTTATCAGCCCTATACGACTCTTCCACATGGGCTTCGCTTGCAAATCACTTGCACAGTCTCATCCAAGGGAATGCGACAGATGCCTTCCTTGCTTACGGTATCGAAGACGTTTGGGATATGGGCCATGAGGCAAGTGAGTTTATCAGACTGAACGATGGTTTGACTGGCCCCGAGCATTGGCCCCAGGACAGACAGTCGCTACTTGATATCATCTTGCCTTTGTTCAATCAAAGCATGTTTGGCGCTAGCCAGAGCAAATGGTTCTTCATGAGACAGCAGTGGGCTGTACCAAGAACACACTCTTATGTCCCACGCAAGGGGGTCAAGACTGCACATCCGTTGCTGATTCTTTCGACCACCTACGATCCTGTTTGCCCCCTCACACTCGCTCGCTCGGCACAGGAGGCATTTGAGGGATCGCAGATTGTGGAAATCAAGGGTTACGGCCATTCCTCTATTTCGGTGACTTCCTTGTGTACTGCGAAAATAATACGAGAGTTCCTGTACAAAGGTAGCCTGCCTAAAACATATACGGCATGCGAAGTGGATTCTCCATACTTCAAAGGGAGCGACGCACTCCCTGCAAGAAGATATATTTAAATTGCAGACGCCCAGGCAGAACTTCATGTGCAGTTAGGGCTTGAGAAAATCTGGAATCCGCAGACTCGGTCGATTACTACTTACGCTTGTCCCTAAACGCGCCCCAGTATCAGCCAGAAATGTTCAGCTGTATTGTCGGATTGAAATGTGCTTTTGCTTTATTTGTTTGCTATTCTGTGAAAACGGTGAGATACATAGAGCCTCTTCTCATTGGTTGTCTTTCCTTCCCCCTCTCCCTATGTTTCTGTGTATAAATTTGGATTTGTGCAGCAATATCTCAGCATGAACTCGCTCCTTTCCTCCGACTATTGGTACAAACTATGAATGCAATTTATTCTCCTTGGTAAATTAGACGCATGTACACGTACTATGCCTTTCTGTATAAGCCTTATACGGTTGTTTTCAAGATGACAGACTATCGTAAAGACATTATACTTGCGAGAAGGAGGGAAAGCTTTTGCTTGTCAGATATGGAACCCTATGAACACAGTTAAGTCTGACCGCAAGAACTAACACTGCATCTGCGACACGAAATAGGCCCTTTTACGCTCAGACGAGTTATAGGAATCGAATCGCCGGAGCGCATAAAGTGAATTGATGGCCGGTCGATTCGGATGCCGTCAATTTCATATTTATACATTAGTAGCAGGGTCTATTTATAAATTGCCGAAAGTACCTCGCAAACTGACAAGATCTCTAATTCTCGCTAGCATCCCCTCGCTATGTCAAGACATCAGCCTGCTTCGGAACTCACTCGGTTAGCATGGATAAATTTGTCTCTGCAGAGGTAGGTTACGCGATAAGAATTTCCCTGTAGGGCTAATAGTCAATCATATCTATCGTGGGGATAAGATTATGGACTTTAAACTGTTGGAGCACTTGCTTTGATGGTATTGTTCTGTCATCCTGATGTGCACTACTACTCATGCATTATGGTTAGACCTATAAATATGCTACTGGGATGTAGCCCACACAGCTCTAAAGTACCACAGCTACTTGAAATGTGCTACGAGATATACCAAATATATTTTGGTAAAGTTTAGCTCTACTTTACGCGATGCTAAGACGTGAGGTAGCATTCGGCACGGGATCGGCACGGACTTCGGTGATTGGGGCTAAGTTAATTTAATACTAAGCCCTAGTATTAAGCCTAGCTATAGCCTATAACATCTCAACTTCGGACTAAAGTTGCTTCTGCTTCACTCGGCAAATCATAACCCATACGCGCATCCACCCCCGGTGGTCGCTTACGGGTAGCTGGTACTTAAGGTAGTATATAATACTAGTATTCACTATATAGCCTAATCCATCCTCTTTCAAGAAAGAATCCAAAGAATTTTAGATAAAAACGGTACTAATATAGCTATCTATATATGTAGTTATACGTAGGTAGTAGTGTCTTTCTGCCCTGTTTTTGAGTGTACGGCTGAAGTGACATCATTCTGATATATACACCCGGTTACCACCTTCGTCTACCTTGATATTCAAGATTTAGCAGGAATTGAAATATATTCAAACAATTGATTGGAGTAACAGATGACCTACAAGTGATTCATAGACACAACAGGCAAAATATGACTAGAACAGGTTTGGACTTTTGTCATATACGGCTCCTCCCCATTTTAAATCGTCTATATATACAGCCATTCGTCATATCGCGATTCTACAAACCAGCTCTCGGCGAGAACCAGACAGTTCTAACATCAATTCCATCAATTCGAGTATCCAAGCTCTCCCCTCTCCTACATTGTCGTCAATTAGGAGTAAATTCCACCAGAAAAGCTCCCGTTTCAGACGACATCAAAATGGCAGTCAGTGAAAGTAATCAAAGATTCAAGTTGGAAAACTTGTTCAATGTGAAGGACAAAGGTGAGCAATATATAATCACTCCAGTCCACCATATTCTAACAACACCAGTGGCCCTCATCACAGGCGGCGGCTCAGGAATAGGCTTAATGGCCGCGCAAGCGTTAGCCGTGAACGGGGCCAAAGTATACATAGCCGGGCGGACAGAAAATAAACTTGACCGCGTAGCCACACTCTACGACAACCACGAGATAAGCGGCAAAATAATCCCGCTCCAAGCCGACGTAACCAAAAAAGACGAGATCAGGAAACTAGTCTCGGAGATCTCCACTCGCGAAGGCCACCTCTCAATCCTAATTAACAATGCCGGAATATCCAACCAAACGCAAAAGACCGAGGCGGAGGACGCATCCGAGCTCCGCGAGTCCCTCTTCGATGACCCGTCTGCGACATTCGACCAATGGGATGATGTGTTCCGCACGAATGTCTCACAGATCTTTTTCATGACAACGGCATTCCTGCCGCTGCTGCAGCGCGGCTCAGAGATCGAACATGGCTGGTCCAGCACCGTGCTCAACACGACTTCTATCTCCGGGATTGTGAAGGTTTCGCAGCATCATTTTGCGTATAATGCTTCCAAGGCAGCGGCCATTCATTTGACGAAGATGCTTGCGCATGAGGTTAGTTCGTCGAAGCTGCGGGTTAGAGTTAATCATATTGCGCCGGGGGTTTTCCCTAGTGAGATGACTGCTGGGGAGAGTGATTATATGCAGAAGAGTTATATTCCGACTGAGAGGTATCGGGAGAAGGTTCCTGCTGCTAGGCCTGGGAGGGATGAGGATATGGGTAGTGCTGTGCTTTTTGCGGTTTGTAATCAGTACTTGAATGGGCAGAGTGTTGTTGTTGATGGGGGGTATGTTCTTGCTGCCGGGTCTGTGTGATTGGGAGTTGGATGGTAGGAGTGGTGTATAACAAATTTGTTCTTTGTTTGTGGGTATCTGAAGGAAAGCTAGGAACATGTCAAAGGAAGCATCTTCAAACCACCAAGTACGCATTGTAAAGGGGTATCGAATTGCGGCCTTATTCAATATCCTTTTGCCCCTGCTTCGCAAACCACCACACCATGTATCCATTCTGATCGTAATAACTTCGTAGTTGTGATACGCTTCCAATAACAGGGGTGCAGCATTGCATATATAGCGTTGCGTCGTCTCTAGAGAATAGATATTAGTGACTTGTATTCTGCACCGGAGTCTCAAAAATAACGCTATAACATACCTGCCCCAGAGTCTCAATTGGCGGGTATCCATCCTCCCCGCTACGAGAATGAAGATACTCCAGATACCGCGCGTCTTCCTGCTCAGGACGCGCGCTACGCCACAACATCCGGTCGGTGACAAGCGCCATGTAAACCATAGCAGTGGCCCATACATCAGCAGGACGAGAATCACATTCACCACGATTGCCATGTTCATCATGACAATGCGATTGGTAATGAAATTTGAATTCTTCCGGGGGAATATAAGGCAGCTTCATACCCACAAATGAGGCAGTGGGTGAGTTCGCAATGACAGCCTGACTGTTATTGCCAGAAGAAGACTCAGAATTTTGACGACATAATGAATTCAGCGGCCACGGTAGCATACACAACCATGCGCTGTGTGTGGGTGGCTGTGGTCTTGGGGGAAGCATTCCTTCTCCCCAGGCCTTAGTAGACTCCTCCCATATCCGCCGGACATGCCCGTCGCCAAACCCGGCCAGCTTTACAGCTCCATTTGCAGTGAGTAAGACTGTCTCGAGGCGGACGTCGCGGTGTGCCGTGCCGTGATCGTGTAGGAATGCAAGCGCACGTAGAATCTGGGTTATTATACAGTCCGCTTCTTGGGTTGGAAGGGGACCTTTGCGGGAAAGGAGGGTGTTTAGGTCGCCACCAGCGCAGTATGGCATGACCAGACAGAGCTCGGCGCGTTCGTTGTGGAGGATATCTAGGATTGGTAGGATGTTTGGGTGGCTTGGATGCAGGGATGTTGAGTGGGAAGAGCTTGGGGGACCTCTGAGGATGGATCGTCGGTATACTTTGATCGCGACAAGTTGGTTATCGCTTGCTTTATTTGTTTTGCTTTCATGTAAACGGGTTGTGCTGTTACAGCCATAGTGTACCATATGGCGATAACGGCCATATTTTTCTATGAAGGGGAGGTTTGGCGATGGAAATGTTGATTGTGATTGGGTAGATATCGATGGCGTTGAGTCTTGCCTTAACAAGGGTTGCTCTTCTGTTGGAATGGCTTCTAACAGGGGTAGGTTGTTGTTCTTGATAGCGCTACCATTGGACAGGTGGTGTTCAGCTGAGAGCTTCCCTCGTATCAAAGTGTGGTGATGATCGACAGTCTGGGATGGAGGACGCATGGCAATTATTAGACAAGTGTGGTCATGTCCCTTTCCGTTATGTGGCTGAGGTGGTTACCGCGTAAGAGAACTCCAAAAAATCGAACAGAGAAAAACATCATATTTTCAACAGGGCATCAAGTCAATGCCCTTTTATAGAGTAGAATTAGAGTAAATTAGCGGGTTCCCCCCCTTACAGACATAGGAGGAACAATAAGGGTAGCACAAGGGGGAAGAATGTTCAACCCCAGTGCCTACATCATCTATAGACCAGATTCAATTCGAGTCAATTGGGATATTTTGCGATTGGACAGGACAAACTGCTCAGTTAAAGAGCGATTTATTTTTTTCGAATCCTTCGAAGCCGCTCTTAGCGAAACCGAAGAGAAAAAAAGTCGATTGCGGAAGGGCACAGTATAATTCCGGGGATTAGTGTGAGGTCGGAATTGAGTCTGCACTGAAATCTGTGGAGAGGAAAAATCCCTCATGGTCCCTCATGGTCCCTCATGGCCGAGGATTAACACCGCACTTTGGTGGCTGTGTACTTTCTTTTTCTTTCTTGTTCTACTTTACCTGTTTTAGGAAATCTGCGGCATTTGTTCTTATCTTTTTGCTCCAAAGCAAGAAATCTCTTCTGTTTCAGAGAAACTTGAACTTGTGGCTGAGGGAAAAAGTTAGGGCTGTGTTTTGTATTGTCACATGTCCATATTTACTGGTTAATGATTGGCTATGTGAGCTTTTTCAATGGTAATATTACGCTAAATTATGTATATGTATGTAATATATATAGCACGATGACAGCTGAT